TATCCTGGTGGGAGGCTGGTATCAAGTTGATGCTGTCCAGAAAACAAGGTCTGGCAGCTTTTCAGAAGCACACGTGACATTGCTAGCAAACATTTGACTAAAAGAACCTGGTGTGAACTATGCAATAAACTTTTACTGCTGTTTTGAGATGCCTTATCTTTATGTTAAAAAGGCTTGTCAAGCTGCAACTCAGTCGTAGTTAATTGGATCTGAAGGGCTCTGTGCCTAAAACTGTAGTGATTACCTATGCACTGACTTCTATAGTACAGAGATAAGGATCCCCTCCATAAAAAGTGAAACAAGCACATGCTTGAGCACTCTGCCATCCTTCAGTGCAAGGGTCTGCTTTTCTTTTAAGTTCACACTGAAGTTCATAGTGAAAGTTTTATCTAGAAGTTGGCATAACAATCTGCAGTTCTTGCATGAAGTATGGTTTGATTTTTTGCCTGAGAATAGGCAAATATTCACAGCTACAAATTTAGGTGTATTAGTAACAACTTCTTTGTAGAAGTAGGAGCACAGGAGGTTATTGAATCCTGCCCCATTTTCCAGCATGAAGTTGTTCGGTTCAGTAACTGTGTGTTTGGGACTATCATGCCCATCCCTCTCATCAGTGCAATTGTAGCCAGACCCCATCTGCCACAGAGGCAGAACGCGTCTTTACGCACGTGAGATTTGTGCGGTGACAGTGGAAACATCAGTGTTCACGTACCAGACTTGTAATTCATTAGAGTGAAAGCTTCAAAGATGTCAGTGAAGGTGCTACAGAAACGGATCTGTTGTCATCTTCTTGCTGCAGCAGGGAGACAACTGAATCAATTGCCTTTTGTCCCCTTCACAGGTTTGCACAGATGAAGAATGAAGTTACTCAATCTCTGGCCTTTTTTATTCTGGCAAGATACCTTTTAATCACTACTGTATGTAATATTTACATAAGGACTGTGCTGAGAAACAGTACAAAAGTTGAACTTACGAAGACTGCACAAGTGACGAGCGTCACTTTCTCTGCTGCTCCTGTATGTTTTACTTGGCACATGTTGCTCATGTGACAGTGTCCGCAAGTTGGAAGAAGCTGCATGTTTCGGTGAAAGTGCCATTACTACTGTATATGGACCATACCTTTTTTGTTCTTTCTCCTGTTTCTCATTTGATTGAGAACTGTAATGTTAATACGTAGTATTTTTGAACTTTTTAGGTTCAGAAAAATGCTGTAGTGTTACCAGGCGTTATGGACCTTGTTTTTTTAATCTGTTTGTTGAGTGCACTGACTGTGAACTTTTACTGGTTTTTTGTTTATTTGTTTTTGGCAGGCTTCAGATTTGTTATGCACAAGGCTGATTAATGAAATTTTAAAAAAAGTTTTTTCTCAATAAATGGTTTATTTTAGGAGTTGTTGGTGAAGGGTTTTTCTTCTGAAAATAAGTATGTGGGATTGTATCATATTTTAAACTTTTTTTCAACTCTTGTTTAAGACAGCCAAGCTGACCTAACTCTGGAGTAAGCACCTCTTATATTGCAGTAGTATTTCATCCAGTTAAAGATGCACGGTGTAAGATGCTTCTTACACAAGTGATAATAGAATTAAGGTTCTCCCCTTCATCCTCTCCTGAGGAAATGAGGTGATGTGCAATTCCTGATGCTACCTGTTATATAAAGGATAGACTCATGGACTGAAACAACTTTCTTCTGGAATGTGAGCACTGTGAACTGGGAATGGTCTGCATGGCATTTCTGTGGCCACGAGGAGAGTCAGTTAAGATTATTCTTGTGTTCTGTTTGGCAAAAACCAAGAGATTACTGTTGGCTTTTTAAAACCGTTTTCTGATGCTGGACTTTGATTTGCCCAACACTCCCCAATTTTCATCAGTCTCAGAAAATGGAGAGAGGTCAGAAGGGGTTAGCAATTAGAAGAAACAGTCTGCAACACTTGATCTAGTTAGATTATTTTGTTTTACTTGCTGTCATCAAACAGATGACTTAAACTGTTACTTGTAAGTATTAGTGCAAGTTTACATATTCCTGTTAGAGATTTAGACCTTAAAATGGGTAACTTATAAAAGAAGAAAACTTGCTTTTAATATTTGGCTTTATGCCAAAGTCCTGTCTCTCTTCTGAATCCACAAATTCTTGAGTTGTTGCTAAGGTATGGCATTTAAATCTTGAAAAGCACGAGCCTCACAATGCAGGTCACCAGTGCAGTGTATCTAGGCTCTCAAAAAATACAGTGCTGAGTTTAAACAAAGACTTTCCCTTCTCTTCAGTTCTCTATTTTCAGTTACAATAGGAGGGGAAGTACACTGTCATCCCTAGCAATGGACTATGAAAGTACCTGAAGTAAAAGTCCCCTGGGCCTGCTGTGTTCTTCCCTTTGCGGTGTATCAGAAGTATCTGAGCAGTTTGTGTCCTCGTTTGCCTTGTTTCAGGTGCCCTTGTACACAAACAGGAACCGAGGACGGGTTTTAGGAGTCAGGATAAAGGTGAAGAGTAAACTGTTACTAGTTTGTTGTCAACGAAAAGAAAACTCACTCACTGCACTTCACTTTTTTATACTTTTATTTTTATATAAACAAACGTTAAGACTACTTTTGTTAAGGCAGTTGTAGAACATACAGTTGCTTGTGGGGACGAGGGGCAAATACTGTTTCCTAAGTTTAATAAGTGAACTGGACTAGTTCAACTTTGGCAAGTACCATTACGCCGTCTCTGTTTGCCAGTGAACACTGGAAGGGCCCGGTGGTGCAGTCCTTGCGCCCTGGGACTTCTAGAAGTGCTTAGGAGGACGGATCCAGGAGTGGTGTGTTTGGCCCTCAGCCTGTTCTCAAGGGCTGGTTCCAGGGAAATGGGTATGAAACAGTCTTAATACTCTTTCAGAAGTATTTACATGTTTGGTATTTTTCTCTGGGAGAAGCGGCACTGCATGCAGTTGAAGAGGAAAGGACTAAGGTTCATAAGGAATGTTAAACGTCTCCCTTCCAGCACTTTAGATCAGTGGCCCTTTAAAAAGGCAAAAAAAGCCAGTCTCTATCACTCTCTGAATATGTATTTGCTGCTCAGAACTACTCACCCCTGCATACAGGGTTCAGTCTGCCACCCTCAGAAGAGTCCACTGTATCTGCCAGGTAAGGTTTGCAGTAAAATGGCAGCTTGCAGCGATCTTTTCTCTCTGCCACCCCCACCCATCTTCAAAGTCTTGTGCATAGTGTCTTTGGGTCTGGCTCACTAACATGCCCAGTGCGTTACAACGGGATAGCTGGGCCTTCAGACACTGATACAGGTTATAATACTCAGTTTTCCACTGCTAAACTTGTTTTAGCAAATAGAGTGCAGGACCTGTGCTTTATCTAAAGAACAGCTTTATAAGCATGGCAGTTATTTTCTGATCTCAGGCTCTATTTATTTTATGTTCATGATCATCATACAACCAATTCCAGAAAGCTTCCGAGTATAGGGAATGCATGTGTACACAAAACAAGTGGGGACAAAAGCCCCCCAAACTAGTCCCTCACACAGGGCCTATTCCTTCCCTCACGTTGAACATTTTACTGCCTTTACTCTCAAAAAACTTAACTTTCAGCCCCATTCTGAAAGCACCACTCCACCTGTTCTTTAGGTGCTGCCTATTAAAAAAGATGAGTTTCTAGGTGATCTGGTGTACTGAACAGCAAATGCATATTTCATGGAATCATTCATATTTGGCTGTATTAGGCCCTGTTTCTTCTAGTTTCAGTTTTATTATAGGAAAAGAGAAATGTGTTTTATACCAGCTGCTAGAGCTTTCGTTTCTAGAGAGAGACAGGCTGTTCATTCCTAGACTACTGTGGTTTAGTCTCATGTGCAGTGAAAATGTATCATCACTGGAAGTGCCAATCATAATCCCCACTGCTTAGTATCAGTATCTTTTAGATTTTAAAAGTTTGGGGTTTTTTTTTTCAATCCTAATTTCTGGTATTTGGAAGTCCCCTCTTTTTATTTTTTTATTTTTTTTTTTAAACCAGCTCTTTTTAGTAACTTGCATACCCGTAACTCTTGGAGTTTAAAAACAAGAGGAGGATGCCCTGGGATCAGTACCAGGGATGTCAGGGCAACACAGTTTTTTTCCAAGAGCTTGATTCTAGTTTTATTTAGTTCAGAAGGGTATCAAAGCAAGTCCAGAGAGCCATAAAAAACTCTAAGCCATACCACTGCCCTAGGGCTCTCTCCTACTTCCCCTCTTCTCCCCAAAAGAAAAGCGAAAGCTAATTTAACTATTACCTCAGGCTGGCTGTTGTGAGGCACCATCTAAACTCATTTCTCAGAAAAGCCAGAGAAGCAGATTAACTGGGATCACAACGGTGTGGGCGTGGGGCATAACTTCTAATGCAGGCTTTGCATTACTTGGTTACAGCACACCCAGTTGGTTTGTTTCCACCATTGTTAGGAAGGCCTAGAATTTTAATCAGTGTTTAAAGCTGAAAGGAATTTTGTTACCTCAGTTTTTCCAAACTCTAAATGGCATTTACTCTCACAAGAATGGCAGGTTTGAGCTATCCTGCTGATGCATGGCCTGGGGAAAGATGTAGCAGTGGGTAACAGCTCTGCTCAGGCCACAAGGCCAAATTCCACTCCAGGTTCTGCCACTGCAAGGCTCTGATCTAACAAAATGGGTCCTTAGCCAAGGTCTGGCTGTGAAGTTTCAAAGGGCCCATGTGGTGCGCACCTTGGGAATAAGTTCTAGATGTAGAAAAACTCTACTGCAGTTCTGCCAGTTCAGTAGAGCTGTTCAGTCCAAACTGGCATAACCAAGCAGAGCATCTTACTCTATTTAAACATCGATGGAATATGGTTGTTAAACTGTTAACGTGTGATCTACACAACTCAATTTTAATAATCTTTTAACTATCTTCTGACATTTATCCATTCCTTAGAGCAAGTTAAGAAAGAGAAAGCCTGCACCTCTGGTTAGTTTCCAGGTAGAGTCTCATCATACAAGCACGCTAGAATTTTTTTTTTTCTTCAAAACCTAAGACACTTGCTAGGAGAACAAACCAACCAACCAAATGCAAACCTGGTGTGGAGAGGTGACGAAGGAGTGCATCTTTCAAGCGTGTCAACCAGCCAAAACCCCCAGAGAAAAGTAACAGGAGCACAAATTCAGATACACATGGCAATTGCTCATCCTACCCTTCCTCTGATCTCACTTGAAGGACCATGATACGCACTTAAGAGTTTTCAGCCATTGCATTTGCTCCCTTTGGATTGAAGCAGTCTCTGAAGATACTACTTTTGTTTCTGCTTGTTGTCGTTGTTGCCATAGGTGGAGCCCTTGTTAATTTCTGTGACACCTATCATCCATCTGACACCAACAGAAGCTGCAAGAGAAATAAGAAATGAAAGCAGTTTGCAGACAGAAACTGAAGGTCTGTAGGGGTGTAGCATTTTGAAAGAGACCACCAGCATTCTCAGCCTTGCATCAGCACAGCAGTGACAGTGACAGTCCCCTAACATAGCTGACCCTTGATGAAAGCTACACCCCCATGCCCCTCTATCAAATAAGCTGCCCACAGTATTTCATTAAGGAAGATCCCAGTCACTGGCCTTAGGCTAGACATGTCCTCTCCCACCAGCAGGGGAGAGGCTACACGAGCAGCCCTTAGACAAGGCGGGCTGTGCAGTGGGGATGCTTTGGGGCTGCTGGTGTTACCTGCCTCCCAGGAGCTGAGTGTTAAAATGCAAGGTGTAAGGGGAAGGGAATTCTGCTGGCTTTCAACAGCCCCCATGACTGGGAGAGCACAAACAAGTGCGAGGGCACTTCAGATCTTGATAAACAAAAAATGTAATTATTTGTGGCATTTTTTAACTAAAGCTCATGAAACAGTCCAGTAAAAGAGGCCAGGTTAATTGAAAAGACTTTTATAGTTGATGTAGTGGTAATAACCCCCTTACATTAGGTTATCCCCATGGTCTTCAGATTTTTTTTTTTTTTTTAATTTGTAGCACCCAAAGTGATGATTTAAGTTAAAGGCAACTTAGCCTGAGCCCTCTCCCTCCCCTCACGGTTGGGTGATATTTTGGGGTTTTTTTGTAAAGTGGCTCAGCTGTCCAGAATCTATTACTCCCCAGACTTCTGCTCAGCTATTGTACATATCCAGAACTGCCACGTTTCTTTGCTTCTTTCAGGCCTAAACCTACTTGGAAGTCACAAACACCTTCCCTCTGCTCAGTGCTTTTTCCAAAAAACCCCACAAAAACAAACAGAAAAACCCCATCTTTCATATAAGGAGAGGCTGAGAAAGCTGGGAGTGTTCACAGCCTGGAGAGGAGAAGCTCAGTGTGATCTTATCAATGTGCCTAAATATCTGAAGAGAGGGTGTAAAGCAGATGGAGCCAGGCTTTTCTCTGTGGTGCCCGGTGACAGGACAGAAGGCAACGGGCACAAACTGAAACCCTGGAGGCTCCCTCTGAGTGCAGTGGCGGGGGGGAGGTGGGGGGGAATAAATAAATAAATAAATAAATAAAAATCTTTACTGTGCATGTGGCTGAACACTGGCACAGGCTGACCAGGAAGGTTGTAGAGCTTCCCTCCGTCCTCTGAGATACTCAAAACCCAATGGCACACAACCCTGAGCAACCTGCTGTAGCTGACCCTGCTCTGAGCTGGGGCTTTGAACTAGATGATCTCCAGAGGTGCCTTCCCACCTCAGCTGTTGTCTTCTGTCTGATTTGCTTGGATGAAAGGCACTGTGTATTTTGTTCTTTCAAAACACCATCACTTGAAAACAAACCAATCAACTACAGACTCGTGTTTTGTAGTATGACAGTAAATTAAGTGAAAGCAGGGAAGGGACTTTTTACAAGGGCAGTCAGTGATAGAACAAGTAGAAAGGGCTTTAAACTGAAAGAGGGCAGGTTTAGATTAGACATTAGGAAGAAATTCTTCACTGTGATGGTGGTCAGACACTGGAACAGGTTGCCCAGAGAAGTTGTGGCTGCCCCCTCCCTGGAAGTGTTCAAGGCCAGGCTGGATGAGGCTTTGAGCAACCTGGTCTAGTGGAAGGTGTCCCTGCTGATGGCAGTGGGATTGGAACTAGATCATCTTTAAGGTCCCTTCCAACCCAGACCATTCTATGATTCTATGATTCTAAGTGACAGTTTTTAGATGTGCAAGTGATAATTGGATACCAGAGATGAGTCACACATGATGTGACACAGCAGTGGTGGAACAGTGGTGCAATGGGGAAGCCCTTGGGTCTCCTGGATGCCAAGACACCAGGAAAGCAAGGCACATAGATAGCAGTGCAGTGTACAGCCCTGAAGAGGAGATGGCTCCTAGGGAGTTCACTGTCACTTACACTCCACTGTTAGACCATGAATGGAAATGCCACAACTGGGACAAGTGAAGGGTTTCACTCTCACAAATAGAAAAGAGAAAAGCATCTCTGACATTTAAATGGCCATGAGCAAGGGAACAGAAAAGGAGGATCCAACATGTAGCCTGCAGTCTGGGATCATAGCATAGTAGTAAGCACAAAATCATAAGATTTTAACCAGAAGGGATAGAAGCAGCATCTGGAGATGGCCACTCTAGAGCATAAATATGAGCAGCTGTTACAGCAACCACACAGCACATTAGAGATTTCATCCAGTTAGAGGAATGCCACTGCCTGGACACCAAAAAATAGCATGTTCAGCAGTTCAGATTTTTTTTTTTTTTCCTTCTCCTATGCTCCCCGGCAGAAGCTGCTACTGCCCTTCTGTCCTCATTCCACCCTGCAGCCCTCAGCACCCTGGGGAAGGTGGGGTGCAAGAAGAACCTGCTCATGTTTGCCAAGGCTGTGGAAGCAAAGTGGGGATAAGTGCTGAGGTGCCTCAGTGGTCTCCTCCCCGCGCTGGCTGCCTCCTCTGCAGAACCCTCCTCTCCTGGACCCTTAGTGCACAGCCTAGTGATATCATCGTGTTTAAGGACTGTGCTGTTGTTTTAAACACAACTACAGTAAGAGGAACTTAGGTTTTTCTACTACAAGGAAGGGGAGAAAGGGAGACTGAGCAGGAATTGTGCCTAACTGAATCAGCTTTGAGAGTTTAAGCCCTCCCTGAGAAAAGCAGGAATCACAGAATTGCCTTGATTGGAAAAGGCCTTTAAGATCATTGAGTCCAACCATTAACCTGACACTAGCAAGTCTCCTAAACCATGACTAAACCATGTCCCTCAGCACTGTGTCTACACGACTCTTAAATACCTCCAGGGGTGGGGGACTCCACCACTGCCCTGGGCAGCCTGTTCCAATGTGATAACCCTTTCAGTAAAGAAATTCTTTCTAATACCCAGTCTAAACTTCCCTTGGTGCAACCTGAGGCCATTTCCTCTCATCCGGTCACTTGTTACTTGGGAGAAGAGACCAACACCCACCTCTCTACACCCTCCTAGGAAAGAGAAGCTATTGGCTGAGGCACCCCTGCACTACTCCACAGCAAACTACAGAAGGTAACTGAGCTCCTGCTGTCTTTCTACCCATTGTTATCCACCAGCCAGAAGATGCAGGAGGTTGCTGAGGACCTGCTCTGCTGGCCAGAGTGCTGGGGGCTGAGGGAGGGCTGAGCTTACATAAACAGACAGAGCCAATAACGTGATCTCTTTCTTGGAACATTTTTTAGCTCCAAGAAAACCACCACATCCACACACAGTACCACATGCCTCAGCAAAACCTTAGCTCATGGCAGAGGATCTCCACCCTTTCCTTCACACCTCAGGATTTCTTCTCATTTGTTACCTGGCGTTTGTGCCACACAGCAAGTGCTAGAAGCAGCACAGCAAGTAGGGGCATAAAAATTTCCCATAAATAGGCTGTTGTACACCTGAGTTATATAGGTTATACACTGAAATGAAGATTTGTACAACTAAAGCTTATACAAATGGTAGAAAATGCCACTGAGGGCCTATCTTACATACTATAAAAGAGAAAAAACAAGCACATAATAAACAAACAAACCCCCCAAAACCACCACAGTTTTAGGCACCAGGCTGAAAGGCCAGATAGTCTGGCAGCTCCACCAACAGGCAGAATCAACACAGGCAGAATTCTGCACACAGTCTATATCCTGTTGTAAAACATACTGTAACATTGCTGGCTCACACTCTTCTCACCTTCCACTCATCTCAGCCTGTGGGCATCAACAGCCTTGCTGCCCAGACACATCATGCTCCAACCCTTCAGTCCACACTCTGCATTTGGACACTGTCAAGTCTCCAAGGACTCACTCACAGTTTGTACTGTGATCCGTGGAAACAGGTTTTCTAATAGCACTGTGCACACACTGTACATCAGACATACAACAGCTCCTGCAGAAGCAAAGGTGGCTCATTACTACTTATGCTTGGTTCAAACTGAATACTTACTCCTCCCACCTAGAACTGATAGTTAACTGCTGGCCCCATGCCATAAGCCTAGATGCCACTGTGCTTTTAGCATTAGACACTTAAGAGCTACTTCTTCATTTAAAAGCCCAGAGAAGCCCTCTCATCTTTTGCATACAGAACCAACATTTCCCTTTTGACTGCTGTTGACAGCTCTATAATAAAATACTTGCAGAGCATGAAGGTTGTCATCTTCAACACAAGTTACCATCACATGAAAGGCAACCTAACACTGGATGCTTTGGAGCCAAAGGAGATTGGGGAAGCAGGAGAAGGAAAAAAAAAAGAATCTGCTGTGAAATACAAATACTGACATTTGACAGACTCGCTCACTGCTTTAACACCAAAATATCAGCCCCAAGTTTTAAATAGCAGTTGTGAGTTAAGTACATAAATCTCTTGCCATGTGTCCTATGAAACTAAAGTCAGTTTTCAAAAGAGACTTTTGTCTCTCAAACTGCTTGAGCATTATCCTCTGGAGCAGGGACTGCCTTGTGTTGGTTCAAGTAGTACCACAAAGAGCTCCTGGTCCCAGACCAGTAGTTGGGTATAAGCACACTGCAATGATTATTACGAGTATAAATAGCCAAACTGCTGCACAGCAAAGCAAGGGGGGATGGCTCAGCATTCTCAGTATAAAGAGGAGACATCGTTTATTTAGGGCTGAAAGTGTTTGAGCTGAAACAGCAGAGCTATATATATATAGTGGTTATTCATTCCATGGATCTGAGTTAGGGTCTGAGGGATTACAGGCTTTCACTCCAGCTTGACTGCCATGGGGCATTTCTCCTATGGCTCTTTCCACCTCAACTGCCAGTTACTTACAAGCCAGTAAGCGTTTTATGGGAGAGCACAATTAACAGAGACTGTCCAAAAGACAAATGACACTGAAAACAAAGGTGCCAGGTAAAAGGACTATCTCGTTCCTCTGCTCTTTCTTATCTTTCAGTTTAGGAACTTCTTGTGCTATCTGCACCTGTGCTAATAAAAGTAATGTTACCAGGTACTGAAATCTGCCCTTAGAAACAGCAGTCTGCTTACAATGGGCTATTAGGGACTGCCAGAAGCTTCCCAATCCTGGAATATCAGGTGAGCTGTCAAATGGCCATATAAAAAAATAATGTCCCAAAGCTACTTATGCTGCTTCAGTTAATGAACAGAGGGAAAAGGTCTATGAGGAGCAATGTGAAAAGATGATTTTATCACCTGATCATAATGGTAAATAAATAAATCCCTCTTATTTACAGAAAAAGCTTCCTTTTACATTGTTAAGCCAGCAGGTACCAGTCACTGCTAACACAGAAAATGACAGCACATACAGTCCTCCCTGCTTTGCTACAAACTGGATCTGCCAGGCAGGGAGCTCCAATTGGCACAAAGAGTCACAGCCTCCAAAGTACATTCGTCTTCCTCCTTCCTACCACTGCCTCCCAGCCATTGCAGAAGTCACTTCTGAGACCTTGCCTAAAGCTGGAGACAGAACTGCAAAATAAAACACTGGTTGTTCCTCTGTCAGAAGGCAGTTGCATCACTCCCAGGACATTCATGACAGAAACATCCCTTAGGATACAAAACACAGTTTGGGGAGAATGGCCTTGCTACAGAAGCTCAGCTATTGGCTACATAAGTCAATGTGACAGCTTGGGCTGAAGTTTTAAGATACTTCCACAGACCAATGATTCCCAACTAGCAATAACATTGCTTTTAATATAGTATAATCAATAAGTAATTAATTATATAATATAGATATAGACTATAACACACAGTGGGAACCATTGCTCTTTTGGTGAGTAATGACACACTCACTTTTAAGTGACCAGGATAAACCAGCTCTGCTTTTTATTTGTTTTTACTGAAGGCTGAGCTTCCTTCCTCTCCCACGGATTCTCTTCCCTCCACAACTTCACAGAGGCTGCTATCTGCTAATAAGTGAGAACATCATCTTTCCTTTGACTGCTCATTAGCCAAAGGTGGCTGGCTGAGTCTAATCAGGTGACAGCCACTACTACAGGCAAAGCAGTGTCTTCTGCTGTGCTGCAAATCCTGGACAATTGCAAGCACTTGGGGTTTGATCACACCAGGTATTCAGAGTCAGAACAGAGCAACAGAACTGTTGCAAAGCACAGAGGTCTTTCAAAGGTTGCAGAGGACCGTAACCTGCAGCATTCCCCAAACGTGGCAGATATGTATGGGGCAGCAATGCACATGGCACAGTGGGCTGTTAATCTCACCACTCTTAATGTGTTCCTCAGCTGTGCTTCTGCAGCCTCGGAGGTCACACATTCATTCTGGCAGCAGACTGCTGATGTAGCTTTCTGTTAGCTTCAGTGTTACACATAACCTGAGAACCTTTGGATTATCACTGCATTCAAAAGAGGACTCACAGCAGACTGCTTATTAATCCTTCCTTGTGGCTAAAAGCAGAAAAAAGCTAAGTGGGGAGTAAGATAGCAAACACAAGACACAAGACAGCAGACACAACCTAGTTGTAAAGGCTACCAATGGCAAGATGGTATTGGACTTACAGTGAGGGGTGTGGTGTCACTCAACTAAATTAATGAGGGCTAAATCCAGATGCCACAATTACAAGCATTACAGCATCTGCCCTGAGGTTAAAATCAAGAACTCCGAATTATGCAGTGAGGCTCCCTGTGGAGGGTCCACAAGGCATGAGGCACTTGGGAACAGCACCTGAACAACCAGTCCACTGAGTGGAGAAGCTGAATTAAGAGGAAAATGCTGAAGGAAAGATGAGAAAAAATTTTGCAAGAGCTAAGCTTCAGTGCCCCATTAGGCCATCATTCCACAGCTCAGCACCAAACACAGCCTATGAGAGCATCTCTTCCGAAGGCAGAACAAATGCCGTCTCGAGTGCTACTGCCAGGGACGCTGCGTTTGCAATGGTGTCGTACCTCATCCTGCCCACTGTTGTACACACATTTTGAACTAGACCACAAGGGAGACAATTGACCTTTCTCTGCAACTGAAGGGGATTTGAACCCAACATCTCCCATTCCTGAGGAGCACACCCCAACCATGGTGTTCATTCTTCACTCCCATCCTATTCACCTGTCAGAGAAGGGGGGGGTTGGGAGAAGCACTACCTGTGCCTTCCAACAAATAAGGTGGGTGAAAAAAGGTGGTTCTAAGTTGTAGTCACTGCTCCAAGAAAATCTTACACATAAATACAGACTGGGCGGTGAGTGGATTGAGACCAGCTCCGAAGAGAAGGATTTGGGGGTGGTGGTGGATGAGAAGCTCAACATGAGCTGGCAATGTGCACTTACAGCCCAGAAGGCCAACCGTATCCTGGGCTGCATCAAGAGAAGCATGGCCAGCAGGTCGAGGGAGGTGATTCTCCCCCTCTACTCTGCTTTCGTAAGGCCCCACCTGGAGTGCTGTGTCCAGTTCTGGAGCCCCCAACACAAGAGAGACATGGACCTGTCCAAGAAGGACATCAAATGAAATCTCCCTCCCTTTCTGTGGGCCAGCTACTTATTTTGTTTTCCTTCCTCCTCTTAAATAACATACTAGTTTAAACACAAGCCAAGGCAGTTCAGAGCTACCACAGGAACTACAGGAATCACCTGCGATAATCTATGCCCTGTGCTATGTAAGTCAGACTAGCTGTCCACAGCAGGCTGTCCTGAAATCACCAGCTCATGGATTTCCAGTGGATGAGGTATCACACTATGATTAGATGAAAGAATTCTCAACAGAGTAAGTTAGCCTCGAGCCTCTCTTCTAGGCATTCAATGTGCAATCCAGCAACACACTACACAAGGAAAGAAAGCCTCTTGTAGGCAACCCACTGGAAAGTTACTGTTTTCTTTTGTACAGAAACAGAAAATTTTGTATGCAGCTCTTACCAAAAATAATCCAACTACACAAAAATAAACCAAAAAAAGAATCTGTTTACCGTATTCCAGGTTAAAGTGGATAGAGTATCAGATAGTCTGCTGAATCCACAGGTTATGTTTATATTTGGTAAGCCTCAGTAAGTCATGTCTGACAGTTACCCTATAAGTAATCTTTCTTTAGAAAACTTACCCATTACAATGACAAACGCAAAACTAGCCAGAGTCACTGATGATCCACTGTTGATCATGTTGATGAGCAGCTTGAATAAAGGATATAGCAGCAATAAGGCCCAGAAAAGCCAGTTCAAAAGTGTCCATGGTCGTCGGGGTGGTACTATAGGGACTGCTGGGTAAGTTCCTGTGCGGTAGTACTCTTCCTGGAATGCATCCTAGTAGGACAAAGGAGGACAACAATTAAATCCTCATCTGCCAACAAAGCTAACCATTCCAGACTTTGATGTTCCTCTTTCTGCACGCTTGTAACCATGGAGGAAGATCAAAGACCCAGTCATGGCTGGAAAGCTTGTACTTCAAAGTCAATGTTAAAAAAACACAGTAAAAAAGAAAAAAAAAAGAGCTTCCATTGATGTGAGCATCCTTTCTTTCTCCCACACATAGGGGCCTGAAAAATGGCATGCCTAGAGAGCAAAACAAGCCCAGTAAAACAAGAAGGGTGAGGGCATGTAC